TTAATTTAATAACAATTGCATGTTTGCATGTGGGTGTTGACATGTGGGCATATGGGGCGGTGGGCTTTTCTTTCTCTTTAACTAACATTTTCTTCTACAAGTGACGACGAAGATGGGGGTTAGCTATGGGTGGCAAATCCAAAAGGCAACGACTAGTCGAGGAAGGGCGCGCGAGGGTCTCGGGTCTGTTGGAGATCTCGTCCGCCGCCTAGTATGGAGTTCGACAACAGCGGAGGAACAATTTAAAGGGAAAAAAAAATTAACAGGCCGCTGAATCTGTTCTGACGCCGTGGGATGAGCCAGAAGAGAGGGAGTCGAGGACATAGGGGAATATGAAAACAAAGTTGTTTTGTTATTTCCTTTTCTAATTTTTCATCCAATTTATCTGCTTTGTCGAGAAATTATGTTGAAGAAACCCTTCTTAATTCATTTGATACAAATTTGTTGGTTCGATTTTTTTTCTGGTATGAATGCAAAATTGTTCATATAGTTACGAAGCTATAATTTTGAGTAAGAAGCTATAATTTTGAATTCAAAAGGAAGAAGGATTCCGGGCCGGGCTCAAGAAATTCCTACAAGAAAAAGTCGAGGATGAAACTGAGTCACGTGGTTTTCACTTGAACAGCCTTGGAGAAGAAAATGGGACCCACATCAAGAACAGATCCCTTCCACTCTCGACCCTCATCGACATACTCAAGCAGAAGACGGGCAAGGACGACATTGATGTTGGCAAGCTCCGCCCGACACTCTTTGACATCTTTGGAGATGACTCGAGCCCCAAGGTGAAGAAATTTATGAAATGTAATATTTGGCAAATTGAAAGGAGAGAGCGGAGAAGATGGCGGGTTTTTGGGAATGGTGGGGGTTTGGCCCAACAGTTTCTCAAGCAGAAGCTCCAAGAAAACAATGACTATGCAAAGCCTGCTTTGGAGACTCATGTGGGGAGGAAAGAGGAAGTTTATGCAGGGGCCACTAAAAGGGCCCTTCCGGACAGTGACATTCTAATGAGCGGCTGCCAGACGGATCAGACATCGGCAGATGCTACCCCATCTGGGGACCCGAGTCGAGCATATGGGGCTCTGAGCGATGCACTACAGACCATAATTGCCGAGTCGGATGGGACAATTAGTAACCAAGACCTTGTGCTCAAGCTAGGCAGCTTTTGAAGAAACAAGGATATACTCAGCGCCCGGGGCTGTACTGCAGTGATTATCATGTTGATGCATCTTTTGTTTGCTAAACAAGTATTACAATTGTGTGTGAGTGCAAAACTTGTTCTTCTTGGTTGTGGGGTGGGAAGGTTTTCAACTACTGTTGTTTTTTGTGCTTGAATGAGTTGGTGTACAATAAAATTACAATGAAATCAAAATATGCATTTGAATATATATTTCCAAGATATGAATTTGAAGTACAGTTGCAATATTACATTTATGTTAATAGATATACACAACAGAAGCAAAAATTAGAAGACAAGGGCGGCGGGCAAATCCAAAACGTGCCTCCAAAATAGGGCCCTAAATAAATAGAATATGAACACCTGCAACTAATTAGGTTTTATGCATCACTGGGACAACCTTAAATGGAAAAAATGAAGCCTACACAAGTTTCACTATGATCCACAGCTGCTTAGCCAAAAGTGAGTCAAATTGCATGGTCGTCTTGAGGGAAAGTCCATACCAGCGTCCATTAGCAATAAATTGAAGAAAGAACTGTGGTTTCTTTCACTCGTCATCAACGTCTTGAACCCACGCCAGATCTGGGGAGAAAACAAAGAATGTGGGGGTGATTTTTATGTATTGAAACTTGAAACACGGACTGCCAAAAGATTATCAACACAAAACAGGAGGTGAAGCAAAAAAAAAAACCAGAATCCACAAAATATGAAGATCTCCCTCTTGGTATGGAACGTGAAGTTCTATCTCGCAGACTATCTTTAGCTTTATTTTAAAATAATAGGTGCTATAGCCGCATCTGCTGAAATACCGTACTAGGAATATGGTGCAAGTGCAAAATATGATGAATATTGTGGTAAGGGAAAAAAATTATCCATCAACTGACAATAAAATTTATTGTTAGTTTTAACATACTCAGACAAATAGAATTGCAAGTATATTGAGACAATAAATTTATAGATTTAACAAAGAAGAATGCCAAACAGACTAGCAAAACACATACCCCACTAAAGGCTAATCATCCTCCATCTTCAATAAAATAAACTAAAATAAAACCACAACAACAACAATAACAACAACAACAATAATAACAATAATAACACAAACGAAATAAACAATACAGCAAGTAGGCGGCAACAAAGAAAGAACAATAGAAAAAAGAGTGACAGAACTAGACCTTGAAGCACCGATTCTACAGCTGCATTTGGTATGAGCAATCCGACAATTCTTTGGCTGTCTGCAGTGGTCTCTATGCGCACAACACGTAGCCTTTTATGGCTTTGTCGAGCCTGTAAAAGATATGATCGTTCACATCAATCAAAGCAAAAAGTTTTTGCAAGATCCAATGTTAGAAAAGAATCAATAATATAGAACGAGAAAGTATAGTCTTAAGTAACATACTGGTCGGTTACTGGACAAAAAGTATTTGCTTAATCAACCAGAGCAACTAAAATCAAACTTTTTACAAGTAGCGCATGCCAGAACAAAAATACATTGAGATTTGGAACTCCAATGCCCAGGGAATACAGGGAGTTTATTTGAAGTAGCGTTTGTAGAGTGTAAGTAAATATTTTTTTTATCACATCAGTCACATCATTGGCCTCTAGGAAGATTAACTAAGAGCATAGAAAACCAACAAGGATTAGCTAAGAGGGATTATTAGTAATAATAGCTTACAAGAAAAACTAATTGCAAAATATAAGCAATTGATTACATAAGATTTCTGAGCAAAATAGTGCATGTTTGAGTTATTCGAATCTTTCATATGTTCTGCCATTCTTCAATATTCACCCCTGAAGATCTTTGAGGGAAAAAAAAGTACCTGCTTCGAAAGTGCCTTTTCAATTGTCCCCCAGACAGGCAGAATTAGGCCGCCCAAAACATTCGCTTCCTGCAGCCTTCTGCCTGTAGTGCAGAAGTTGCCCAGCCTACATTTGGGACCATGCATGCACTGCAAATGAAAGCACAAATAAGCAAAATGGATACTCAGCAGCAAATACCAGAATGCCAATTCTTTTGCATAAAGGAACTTTACACCTAATGAGTTGGAGCCCGGAACGTTCAAGTAACATTCACTCCCCATATTAAAAAATTGTCTGGACTAAAATCTAGCATTAAAAATCTTCTTCCTAAACTTATACAGCTTCGGCTCCCAATCACGAATTACAGAAGTTCGATGATATTGGCCAATATCATTAAAATACTCATCAGATGTAAAGACAATTGGTAGTATCAGGCACGTCACCAAACTACTAAACTTAAAATGCAGAGTGTTAGACGCAATTTGTTTATTTCTCTCTGGTCTCCCTCAAAACAACCAGGCACTAATTTCTATCTTTCTTTTCCTTTCTATTCTTTCGGCATTGGGCAAATGACGGTACTGGACACAGAGTTTGAAGAAAAATATGATTGAAATGGTTCCATATTCACTTAAATAATATCACATTTTCATCAATAAATGGTAGTATGCCAAATCCTAGACTGAGTAAAGAAATGTCCGAAAATAGTGGAAAACACAAAGATTTTAGCCTGACCCATGAAAGCTTTGGCATCTGACAAAAAGTACATAAGCATAAACTCATAATAACTTTGATCCTAAAAAGAATTGACTTTTGAATTGATGCTAGCTTCATTTAACTCAGTACACTGAAATTCCAAGTGGGTGCTTAAAAACAGTACAATTTTCTATGACAAATCAAATCGATCTCATGCATTCATCAAATATTTAAAATCAAACGAATTATTAATAGCACGTGATGAAGCTAGTTATAAGTTATATTAACCTTCAATGGTGGAAGATTTTCTCCCTTTTGTTTTATCCATTTTCAAATGATAGTATAAGGTACCCAACATTGGCAACGAATTAAATGCCTTCTCCATAAAAGCTACTATTACCTTAGCCCTTGACGCCATTCATCTTAGCATCATTTCGTGATTATGAGATTTAGATATGAAAATTTGGATTGGGTGACCTTTTTTGGAAGTTAATTCGAAAACCTAATTCGAACTGAAATTCAAGTAATCTCCGATGAGCGGTTCAAAGTAATATTTCAGTTTGATTTTGCGTTCTGATTCAAATTCAGAAACAATTGGACATATTTACATTACTCCTATGCCCTAAAGAAGACAATTTCCAATTTAAAAGACACGGCTATTGTTGTTGGAAACCGGGATGGTTTACTTTTGGAGAGTATATCTCTAGCTGGAAATCGGCACAATAACAATAAATGTAATGGCACATTTGGAGAGTACATAGCTAGTCGTAAACCATCCTTGGACAAAACCTAAATGGCACGGAGCCAAATTGATTATCTAATATACTATATCCAATTTTCAGCTTTGATTTTATTGCTCTTTTTCATAGTTTCATTGTATGGGTCATTAGTCAAGTGCCTCTATAATGTTGCACAAATTAAGTGAGGTAATTTCATGCCTCAATTGGCATGGTTAATTGCTTCAACGTTTTCCATTTTATGCAATGTTGTTTCTAGTTTCCAAAGTTCATACTGATAGCGGGTCCAATTTATAATGCACCCAACGACTATATATGAAAGACCAGAAATTCCACGTGTGCTGACTGTTAATTCCCTCATGCTGTAGTAAAATACTTTGATTTCATCTTTTACACACTTAAATTATGTTAGATATATTATTTAAAAAATTTCCATTTCATATTCATCTTTGATCCATTCAAAATCAATGTATGTTTCACCTCAATTCCTTTAGGAAAGAAAAAATAAAAACACAGCTGTAATACATTTACCATTCATCAAAGATATGGAAAATATATGAAAGAAAATGAACCTAGAGTAAATGGGAAAGAATATTTAGATTGGATGCAAGAATATTTAAAAAAAAAATCGTATCGTCCAGCAAAAAGTGGGAAAGAATATTTTAGAAGTGAAATAAATTTAAAAGTAAATGAATATGAGATAAAAATGTAATGATCAAAATTGAAGTGATATAAAAATACTAAAATATTCGTGGATAAGATTGGCAGTTAAAATAAGTGGATGAATATTATTTTTTGTTTGAAAATTTATAATAATGATTAAATTACAAAAATAAGTGGATGAATATTATTTTTTGTTTGATAATTATAATAATGATTGCATTTTAATTTTTAATTGTGTTATTGGATTTGTAGAGAAAAAGTAAGATAAATTAATAATATTTTTTGTGAAAATTTGTTGTTTCATTTTTAGTTTCAATGAGATAAGTCTTGGCTGAACAAAAAAATAAAAAATGTATCAAACATTATTTTTTTTGTTTTTTATTTTGAGAGAAAAAATTTAGACAATGGAAAAGTTACATTTTACATAAACATGCTTACAAAACTTTTTGCATTGAAACCATTTCAAACAAAAAAAAAGTTCATACCGAAAAAAATACATATGAAAAGCCTAAGCATAATGGATCGCAAGTATAAAAAAAGATGTGTTTCTTTCCGATAATTTGTTTAAGGAAAACCATCAATCATTTTAAGCAAGCAAAAAAGGCTATAGTAGTCCTTACTAATTCTATTAGAAGGGTGCGTGAGTTATGATTTCTTATAAGGCTTTCTTCTAAAAAGTTAGGGGGATCAGTGCCCCCAGATGGTTTCGTCAGTGGTTACTTGTTAGGCCAGCTAAGAAAGTGTAAAGGAAATTTTCCAAAGGAGGATTTCATATTGTCCATGAGAATTGTTGGCCAAAATAAATGCTAAGGGCATATGCTTGTTTAAAATAATTTCCTCGCACTTATCTCATACTCAAAATCTAACTCAACTTTAACTCAACCTCACTATCTCACTATCCTTAATGTTATTTATATAATTAAACATTATAAATAATCATTCTTACATGTCACATCAACTTTAATTCACTATTTATCCACTCACATAATTTTAACTAATTATCATTTTCGATCATTTCAAATCATTTATCTTCTACTGTACATCAAATCAATAATAATCAATTTATTTTAAACATCATTTTAATACATTATTAAAATCTCACTAACTAACCATGCTACCTTTTTCAAATTTTAACTCTAGTTAATCAAAATAACTCATTTTTAGCAAATTATTTCATAAACAAGCATGCCCTAAGATTAATGCATTTTATTTCTTTCATGGTTGCAGCAACTTACTTTTCTAATCATTATAACACTATCATTTTTTGTTACGTGCCAATGACTAGTGTTGATGTAGTTAATTATGTTTTGATAAAAGCGAAGAATCAAGCGAATGAGAAATATTGAATTTTTACTTGGTATTATATAGTAACAAGAAGGATGAAGCTTCATCTTCCCATCAAGAACTTATCTCGGGCCAATAAAATATGAGTATTATTGCCAACATTGTCTCTACTAACGACTGACACGATTATTGAAGATATTTACAATAGAAGCACAAAAATAAATATCTTCCAAAGACAATCTAGATCCCAAAATTGCCCCAAATCTATACATATAGTTTTTTCTTTACTTAGTTGCTAGTTACTCATTATTTCATAGAGATGCAACAATAAAAGGATAACAATCTTCAAATATTTTATGCTGATTTTTGGAGACCTTAATTAGTTCTTAATTTATTATTCCCTATAATCTATAATTTTCTTGCCTCTTATATTTCTTATTAACATTTTATATTAGTTGTAGTTTCATATCTAAGATAGGGTTGTCAATAGGATAGTATGGATTTTGTAATAACATGGGCTATTGCGCAAGAAACAGAGAAGTTTTGTATTTCTTGTTCATCCCTAATCGTATTTCATCAAGAAAATTACGCATTTTCTCTTTTCCTTGATCCTTTACTACTCTTAACAAATGGCCGACATGCCAAATTGATGACAAGCATGGAATCCCAAGTTGCAACTATGGAGGGTTAAGAAGTCCTTGAGCACTGACTCACTCATGTTGAGGAAGCGATCACCAAACTTAGGGAGTTGGTCATGGAATTTTTACAACGAAGGACAACGTTGAAGCCAACTATACCTCCCAAAGTCAATGTCAACATTTATTCCACATCCTTAGTGTGAATCACCTACATGTGGAAATTTGAGATTTGAGAGTAGTGCAAGCAACTTCTTCTACTTTCAAAACAGGTTCTAGTGGAGTGGGCTTCACAGCATAATAAGATTGCCTGATGCCCACCTTCCTTTTGGATTTTTCACTCTCAGTGAAGATTTCCTAGTTGGATTCTACCCTCGTGTCATCATACAATCTAGGCTAAAAATCCATCGCAAATATCTTCTCTTTTCCAATGGCGGAAGAGGCAGATAATTCATGATTCCAACCTGCGTTACGACACTCGTGGCCCTGTGCATTATGCAATAACCAATGGTGTTGTTTTCCACAAGAGTCATATAGTTTTGGCGTTTACACATAACTTTGTTCTCTGCAGTCTTGAGGATAAGGTTGTTTTCTGGCAGAGGCAAGTGGCAGATTTCGACTAGAGAAGTTTGGTATTTCTTGCACATCCCTATTCGTTTTCATCAATAAATAACGTATTTTCCCTTTTCCCTGGTCCTTTACTCTTAACATTATTCTGCAATATACTTCAACCATTTATGCCTTATTTCGAGCTATCTCTATCATCCTTGATGTGATTTATTATTCATATAGTTAATTTCGTAAGATTATAAGCATTTAATGTGTTTTCAATTTGTCGCTTTGCAAAGTCATACAATCAATCCACCTTTTGCCGCCTAGGTTGTTGGCCATGGCTAGAATTGCCTATCTTTTGGCAACCGGATTACTATTCTACTCATGTAATTTGTCACTACTGCTAATCACACAATTCTATACCTCTTTGGTAGATAAAATCCAAACAATTGAAAAAACAAATTTAACGACATAAGATTTTAAGAAATTTAACGACACAATACCTCTTTAGATCTCGGTCTACAGAGTTTGCTCTTTATAGAACTAATTGAGAGGGGAAAGTGCTTAAATAATATCTGTAATACTACACATCCTTCCAAACATAGACAAAAACATGTGCCATATGTGGTCAAAGAGAAATAATATTCTCAATTTCTTCACCACATATTTCTTCAACAAATTCTGAAGGCATTGATAATGTTACCTGCTTGGACGAAGCACCATATTCTTCTTCCCAGCCATTACGAGCCCTATCTAGTGATGAAAGTTTTCTGTATTTGTCTTTTAGTTCTGCCAGAGGCATCTCCCTGGTTATTAGAAGAAAAGTTAGGAAGGCTTGCACATTAACAAATAAAAAGGCAGTTATGAGACATCAAGAGGTAGTTGTCAGGAACCTGATGGATTCCCCAATGGCAGGACGGCATATTTTGTACATTCCAGGAGTAGAGCTAAGCAGAGACAAAAAATTCATATACAGATAAGTAAGATAAGACAAGTTCGCTGTTGTGTATACTTGAATACATCTGATTCATGCAATAAAGTATGTACAATAAAAATCTTAAATCTCAAGTAAGACAGTCACCATGACAAATTACCGAAAATCCAAAATCTTCACTGGCACCAGAAAAACATTGGATTATCTATAAATAAGTGTAGGTGTGTGCTGTTGTGGGTGCTCAGTACACCTTTGTAAAGACTCGGGACCACGTAAATTGAGTGAAGTCTTAATGTGGAATACAATAACAAGAACTTTGAAATACTGACAACTAAAAAGTTTGTACCAAATGACAACTTGAAAATGACAATGACCCAACTACCATAAAACTAATGAAATGTACAAGCGCTGGAGATAAACTAATCAAATGCAACAAACAAGTCAACCTGGGAAAGGCAAGGTTACATAAAAAAGATTAAATTGCATGTTAAATGTATGAAACTGAGACTAGGACCCTAGGAAAGCAAATTACAGCTAAAACAACCAAAAAACTTTCACCCTCCACGAGTACTCAAAACAGTAAAATAAACATGCTTTTGAGAATAAGTAATATTCTTACCCCTCAAATGCTAATATAAAATGCCGTTTTCCCATCCATTCTCTCCTTGATTCATAGAATCCATTGTTGCTTGAACCAGACTCATCCTTCCGCTTTTCCTCGAGCAATGTGGAGGCAGACTACAAAAAAAAACAATGCTGCATAAGTGTCATTAGGATTATATAATTACCAATAGTTAATAGGGGAAAAAATTGCACCTCAAACGTAATTCCTCGATCCAATGTGAAAGTAAACAACACAGTGGATGCCCCGGACATGTTGTCAACGAAAACAGTCTGCCAAAAGAGGATGTTATTAACTGCCTATGATGCTAAAACCCACCAAAGCAGAGGGCCATAATAACCTTTGGAGTTCCCTGGAGCTCAATTGTGTTAGCTTTTATATCAACAATACCAGAATCTATATTGCCCTCAACACGCGCCTTCTGAACAAGAAGAT